TATATATAACAAGAGAATAAGAAAAATAGTGTGAATGGAGACAATTTTTCAAGAAAAGGAATACACTGGTGGCCTTACTTTTATACCAATAGCAATAATCAATAACAACGTTTGATTTTAAAATTTGAAAAGTACCTTATCAAGCTTCTCTTGTCCTCAGGGGGGAGAGAACCCCATTCTCTCATGGCTGCATCTCGAATGGCTGATGCAGCCTGAAATCTTGCATTTGCCAACTGAGAGTTTTCTGAATAGATGAAACGTTTTTAGGGTGGAAGATCAGATAGTTGATCTTCTAAACCAAAGAAAAAACACACAACAGTCTGTTATTTCTTTACACATTCTAAAAGAACTGCATCAAATCTACACTCAATTTCATGTTAAAACCACTTTTATTGTCAAAATTTTTCAAATTTTCTGAACAATGTTCAAATACAAGACTCATAAACCTTTCCTCTAAGGATGAGGAGGATATCATAGACTGTACAAGCATCATAAACTATTTTGCCAAATATTTTCCTCACTAAAAGTTGAGAAGAAGGTACAACACATAAAGAAAAATAAGCTTCAAAAGCATTCAATTAACTCATTTCAACACATGGAAACCTATAGGGTTCGGCATCAACACCCTTCAAAGTAAGCCCAGTGCAAATAAAATTCAATTATCTCTTTCCAAACTTTTTTGTGGTGATCACTACTTGACATCATTATCTGGCATATGAAAACCAATGTGTCAGAAGACAACAGTGTAATTATCATGCAAATACTGAGCAAGTGCAAGGACTGACAGACACCTAAAGATCCTTTTATTAGGACAAAAACTTGGATAAACTATGCAACCAATTGGAAAATAATTTAGCATATACACGTAACTGAGGAAGCTATTGTGACGAAACAATTGCAGGACACAAGGTCAATTAACATCAAACATTCCTCAAATGTCATTGTCTTCTCAATTAAATGTTCCAACAATTAATCTAATTGTAAAATGCACTACAAGTACCATTAATTAAATTTTTTAAAAATTAATTACATATCTAGCTTGTATAAACTAAAAAGGGCAAGAGAAGAACCTAATAGAGTTAAAGAACCAAAGCCATAATCTTTCAAGATTTTCCAACATGCATGGAACATAAAATTACATTCACTCACCAAGGATGTATTTGCATATCTTATATGGTTGAGGTGATTGGCTCAACGACAACAAAGTTGCCTCTGCTGCTGCAGGATTGATATGCATCTGCTTAAAACCAAATCAGCATGCATTAGAGAGCATATTTCCATGTTTGCATTTGCATCAGTTAGCAGAAAAGCATACAGGACTGATACATCAGTATACTTGTGCGCATCTCAAAATCACATTTCTAAAACCGGCACAATAGCCCAAAGCTCAATCAATCCAATAAACATAAATTCGCAATATAGATACATTTATACATAGTTCGAACACCCTGAGACCGGATAAACATAAATACTTCGAAGAAAATAACATACACGAGTATACTGCCGAATTTAACATTGCAAACACTTCAACTACAAGAACTAAAGGAAACAAACAAACGGAAACAAGGAATCAATTCGAGTTTTTGCATGCAATCTATTTCCGGCTAGAAAGAAATTAAGAAGTTCAAGCTACAACTGATTATGTGCACATGAAGATGCAAGGACCTGAATGGAAGAGCAAGCAAGCTCGATGGTGTGCATGGTGGACTGAAGCTGGGCCAAATCGGCGCCGCCGTCTGAAAATCCTTGCATTTTTGTACCGGAAAACTTGATTCAGATTGGCCTTTTGAGCTTGGTGGTTTAGGATTGTGGAAGGCGATCGGAGAAAATGGCAGATGAAGGTGACGAGTTGAGGTGGGATCGGTGAAGAAGATACAATGAGTGAGCGAGTAGATTTAACAGGGGTTTTGGGCAGTTCCGTTTTGGGCTATGTGGGATTTGGAATTTTACCAAAATGGACTCTGTATTTGCCGAGAGGGAAGAAAATAAGAAAGGGTCTGTCTTAGGCATAACGCCAATATAATAAGTAAAAATTGTATAATTATTATTAATTTTTTGTTAAAAAAATAATGTTAACTTTTTGTCCAGCACTTGCGGGACGTTATTAAAACTAAAGAATTTGGGATAAAATTTCAAGTCCTCCTTCTATTTCTCAAAAAAAAGTTCACATTGTTCAAAAAAAAAAATAATTTTAACTTTTATTTGAATTATAAATTTTATATGTTAGTTTCTTATTTGTTTATTTTAAAATTAAAATCAGAAATTTATTTTTATAATTTAAAATTTTACATCTTAAAAAAATGATAATTATTAATTAATAACTATTTTTTAATTTACGCTCTTAAACTACAAGATAAATAAACCCAATAAGAAATTTACTTGATAAATAAGAAAAGTGTTTCCTAAGCTAGGTGTTTAAAAATTTTGAAAAACATTAAAATTATGTCGTAATAATATTTTTATCTTTTCACTTTTACTCTATTAAAAGTGGTATAATTTGATATTTAATATTAATAATATGTGTACGTATGATTTTAATTGAAAAATTAATCAAATTGAAGTCAACTTTTATATTTAGCGCTAATGACCTAAATAACTCATACGTTATCTTCTTTTGCTAGAGGCAAGAGATTCCGAATTCGAATCGTATGGCATATAGGTGACATAAAAGATGTGTGATTGTTATTTCTTATTGTACAATCAAGATAAAAAAAAAAACTTTTATATTTAGCAAAAGTAGGGAAAAACCAAACTAAAAACTTAAGATTTTAAACTTTAATGGCACACAATTAAAATTTGAAATTACGCTATAAAAGTTTGAAACTACACGAAATTCTTGATTAGGGTCTTAATTGGAAAATTTTTACTTCTCATCAAATATCACATGAAATCATCAATGTCCATCGCTCCTTATATACATGGCACGCCAAGTGGACAACTAATGTTGATTAGATTAACTCATGTATATTTATGAGTAAAATCATATCGAAAACAAAGGAAACGAGACTAGAAAAGGAGACAAACTGTCAAACTAAAGACATGGGAGAAGAATCTTGCTGGAGAAGTATGAAATAAGATTGAAAATTTGCATCTAAAGTACCAAAAAGTCAGATCTAAAGTATTGAAGTCTCTTCTCCTTCTTGTTTCGTTTGCTTTTTCTCTTCCAACTTCTCCTCTCCCCTTTCATTCTCTCTCTTCTATATTAGAAGATTAAAAGCTTGATTTTGTTGATGGCTATTCTCAAAAATTGGAAAAAGAACTAAAATGATAGTAATTGAGGTGGCAATGAATGGCCAAGTATGCCAACCCAGCATCAAGCACCCGTTGTTTCCCTCCAATTTTTACTCATCTTTGCCAATGAACAAAGGTAGCAGCAGGTTGGCTTGCTTGAATGTGTTTTACCCAAGATGAACTAGCATATACGTAGCTGATCCCAACTAAGTTTACCATTAAGTTAGCGTTCCATGGTGCTCGACTCAATTAGCTCCTTCACATGCCACCACATTATAAAAGCCTCGAGAATTGCTTGATTGGCAATGAAATGAGCAATTTTGAGATGTAGGCATGCCTCATAGATGTGGATAAGGAGAATATTTGATAGAGAATGGTGAAGTGGGTTCCTAGGTATAATTTGGGATCTGAGGGATGGGCATATCTGAAAAGTAAGAAGGATTTCAAGAGACCTAGGAGTAGAGAAGAGAAAATTGTGTTTTAGGATCTAAGGATTTCATCCTTAATTTGAAGATGTTAGAAATGAAAGGTGTAAAGGGCTCTTTAAAAAAGAAAGAAAAAGAGTAAAAGTCCTTATGGGTCATAACCAATATGTAAGGGAAAACACTTATGTGATATAAAAATTTAATTTAATTAACATTTGTTGTTCATATGGCATGTTACGTATGTGACTGACGAACAATGAGAATGTCACGAGACATTTCATGAGAAGTTAAAATTCTATCTAATCAATATCTTAATTGAGAAATTTGTGTAGTTTGAAACTTTAATTGAGTGCCTTTAAAATTTAAAACCTTAGTTGCAAATTTGGTGCAACTTGAGGACCTTTTCCTTATTTTTGTCCTTTTTTATATGAAAAAAAAGTACAATTAATAAATTGTTAATTTATATCTAAGAATATACAAGTTAAAAAAACTAGAATTATAAATGAATTTAATATGCAATGGCATTTAAACTATTAGGTTTACTTATGAAATTGTCTATATATTTTAATAAATCTTCCCTTCTTATTAATTTATTAATGATATTTAAATCTTTTCATCATCATTCATAGCATTTAACTGCCAGACATCTTAATTTTTCACCTTCCCTATTATCAAAATACAAGAGTATAAATTAAAAATAATAGTTAATTATGAAATAATACATATTAAACACTATTATTTGAAATAATATATATCAAAATTTAGGAACCATTTACATACATTACTTATGAAAATCATAATCATTCATCTTTTTACTATAAATTGTTAAAATTTATGATAATTTTTTAGATAAAAAAATTATTTTTAAAAAATATGATAAAAAATATATAAATCTAAAATATTCATAATGCAAAGATAAATAATTAAAATTTTGTATAAATGTGAGTGTAAAAATTATATATAAATGGATC